GTTATAGAAAACACGTACTTCACTGTTAACCCTTTGACGACAATGCGGATTTGCACGTAGCTTGCTCATGGGACCACGCCTCTTTTTGGCGCGCCCAACTCTCGCTCACAATTGGGCAAAATTGTCCCTCAAAGCAGTTTTTCTATAGAATTTTTGACTTTAACAGTATACCAGATATAACTGCAGTTCTAGGCTTTCATACTGTATATTGTTTTCAAGAGAATTCCAAATTTGGAGGGGAACTCGGGTTTCTAAGAGGAAGGGGGCAAAACCTCTAAAAGTTTGAGTGTCCAAGAGAATTTTCGGATTAGTAATTAATCTTCTGCCTAATAATGCGAAACCCCAAATATGCTGGCGAGCTAAATGGCACATTCTAAAATTCTATATAAATTAGCTCTTAGTAAACATTTCTGTAAGTCGTGCTAGTCATAGATATTATGGAACTTGCTTATAATTATTGGGGTGTTACAAATGTTTTAAATGCACAAAGAAGGAAATTTTAAGGTGGCACCCACCATTGGGTGCCATTGTCCCACGCGGCGAACATAGTGGCACCCACCGGTGGGTGCCATTGTCGTCAAAGGGTTAACACATTGACGGCGACGCGAAATACATAAATATGTCCCACATCTTTGCTCGAAGGAGGCTTGTTTTAGCGAAATTCTGCCTCCATTCTCACTTTCCAGAGTGCTCCATATGCATTATCGGCTGCAGAAAATAGTACACTTTTTACCAAGAATGAAATATTGATGTAACTATTATTGATGAAAAATTATGAAAAAAGGAATTAAACGGCGATCGTCAATGTATTAAGCAGAAAATGCCCCTTAACAATGTTAGGACACCTAGCGGCAGAATTGACAGAAGTGTATTCGATGCGTAAATGTAGGATTTCTTGCGAATGTTTCGTAGAGATGCTGGAGATCATCGAGCTCTAATATTTCATCCAGTCTGGTCATGCTCGAGGGCAGATCAGAGGCTGCAGCAGTGTTTCAGCAGTGTTTATATCTGACTTAAGAAGACATTGCGGTTTTTCCATAACCACGCAAAATATGTAGTATATTTCTGGTCTTGTGTGAGCTCTTCTAAACTTGTACGTAAGACTTATTGTAGGTGAGCTCTGAGCTCAAGCTAACTTCAGACTTCTTGTAAACGCTTCCAAAACTTCTTACTTGGTATGTAAGAGACTTTCACGAAATTTGTTTTGATCGACGTTTTTTCAGTTGCATAGGAGACAACGCGCCATTCATCGCTTGGTTGAACAGCTATCCACTGGAAAGGTATTTATCTTCTGTCACTAACGTAAAGTAACGCGGCTTTCACCATAGTCATATTATTATATAATTTACTTTTTTCGTAATTTAAAGTTGTTTAATCCTTCAGGTAGTCATTGGATTTGACGTCCTAAACAAGTACTTGATTCCTATGGTCTTGCCATATCTCGCTAATACGGAGAGCAAACTTTCTGGTGGGACATCGATATCAATTCTTCCGATTTCTCGAAACTGAGAGGGAGCTTATGATTTATCCAGTAGAAAAAAATTGGCTACAGTATGATTGCGTTTTTGTTCACTTTCCGAGAGATGTGTCTAGGGTGTCTTGGGGCCCTATCAATTTGGCTTTGGTTTGATCGCTGTTCTTAGGCAAACCAAAAATTTACGTTGTGTGTGTTTTGATTAGTGTGCTGGCTGATTTTAACAGTTTTTGTGACAATCGGAGGACATCAGAAAAGCACAAGGTTAGTGATGTAGTGTGGGTTACTGGCACAAGAAGACAGTTGTTCCTTCTAACGTTTTTTCTTCATTTGGATCACATTTCAATAAAGGAGGGGTGAGGTAATCGTTGCCGTTGTGGAGGCATTCCATTACGATGTTGCTGATGTGGGAGAAACTGTCAACGAGGAGGGAACGAATGAAACCCGGGTGGTTATTCGGGATAAACTTAATCGAGAAGTGCTGCCCAGGCTCACCAAGTGTATCAATGGAAAGGTAAGCTAATTTTAGAGTCGCATTTTTAATCTCAGGGAATAATTTTCATGCAGTGAATGGGTTTGGGTATTGGTGAATATGTGATGTCGGGCGAAGACATAGGAGAGTTGTAGAATACAAGGCTTGGAGTGGGGATAAAGGAGACCGCCGGAAATGATTTTCACGCATTTTTCTCGTTTTTTTTTTTTCCAAGGCCATGAAAAATTCAAAAAATTCACATAATTTTTTAATCATTTTCATATTCTTTTCACGGAGATAAAATAATGGGCGAAAATTGTTCGTGCGAATAATTCGGTGGATGTGTTTGTGATTTCATGAATGCGAAGAGTGAGGAAGCAAAGTGTGGAACTGAAAAATCCACTCTTTATTTTTTTGTTTACCGGAACATTTTTACGGGTTAACTACATGCGTTTTCTGGGTAGTAGTTTTTGGTATTTTTTAATGAAAGTTCGCTAGTTTACCCTCAACTCGCACAAAAGCAATGGGATATAGCGATGATTTTTTCAGTCGGCAGAGCTGAGCGTTCACCGTAAGGCTCGCACGGCTGCCACCAAGCACTACAGCGAGGATGATGATATCAAAAGAGCACCAGTTGCTCTTGCTACCGTGAAACTCCTGCAGAAAGTCCCTGACAGCATTCGTTCGCAATATCTACACGGGTATGCGCGTCATGCGTGGCGCTCAACGTTGTGATTAACTGAATTTTGCATTTCGACGATTAACAGCCTATCATTTCAGGGTTATTTTAAAGCTGTGCTCGTTGATGATTTCACGCTCAATGAATGTTCGGGAAACAGCTCGAAAAGTCGGAGTACAAGTCTGCGAATGTCTCGGACCGCGCTATCTTCCTATAATCATCAAGGAGATGAAGCTTATAATGAAAAAAGGATTCCAGGTCAGCTCACAATTTCCCTGTGAAAGATAGCTTACAATGGTTCTACTTGACCATAGTAAAGGCTGAGTCAATTTTCAGGTCCATGTAATGATCTACACGGTGCACACTTTTATAGCAGCAATGCGAGACGTCTTAAAAACGGGAGATTTGGATGCCTGTCTGGATGATGTGATAGATGTAAATTTTGATTTTTAATTTTTTTAATTTCGAAAAATATTAAGGATCAAACTCAGTCACTTTGTGACGTTCAGCGGAGACTGGCGATGATGTTAATTCATAAAAATAATGGCTCGAAAAATAATCTCTAATACTGATTGGACACGCTGAATATTTCAGTGTTATGCTGTCTTCCATGGCTACCCAAATGTAGATTAGCTCATGAGGCGCAAAATACATTTCGGGGCTTCAATTTTCACAGCACCAGGGTCCAAAGGCATTTGTGTTGGATGCCAGTGTAATATTTTACAAATTCGGAAAGAAACTGAAGTTAGTTAGCCGGACTGCAGGGCAAATATGGTGTAGTGGCAAGTGGCGCCAATTCCTACGCGCACGGTACGGCGAAAGAAGTCGGATCCAATGTCGTCCAAGCCAACCAAGCCTTCCATCCCTTCGGGGCAGCTCAGTCGGTGCCAAATTTGT